CATACAAATGTCTGCTAAGTCAAATGAACTCTCCTCTCTTTCATTCCACCAATAAATAGATAAGCTTCTCTTTTTCCCCCCATTTATATATTTGGTACAGGATTTCAGTATGCAGGTAGGACTCCTAATGATCCTCTTTTCAGCCTCCCCAGTGCTGGGATTACAGGTGTGTGCCACCATGCCAGGACTTGGTTGCCGGCTCAGTGTGTCCCGGGGGTGGGGCCGGTGTGGCATGCAGGACTGAGGATCGAACCCTGGTCCCTGTGCTTGCCAAAGCAGGTACTTAGTCTACAGCGCTATCTCACTGGTCCTTCTTTTGCAATTTTTATTGTTTTTCTTTACTTGTAGAAAGTTATACATAAATGTCTTTTTTAATATATCCCTAATGATTTTTAGTTTATTACTTATGTTTTCTGTCTGGAATCCCTATCTTTCTGAGGACTTTTTTTTGAGGGATGCTCACAGTTAGTTGTCTATTTCTTTGTAGATGTTTTTGTTTTTTTTCTATAATTTTATTGAGAAACAAATAGTAATGAGTCAGTGTCAATCAAATTGGTGGGACAGTTTCAATAATTAACACATTGCATACTGTCTTCCTAGTTGTTATTTGTTGAATGCGATGCTGACATGATATCCTGTTTACAAACACAATTAGAACAAATCCCTCTATTCATTGAATTAAGAGAATGTGGCTATATACCTATCCTAACCATTTTGAAAACACAGATACAAAATGGTCATTCATCTGTATCCCCCTTTTTGTTTAGTTCCATCATTTAAATACTATAGGTGTGTGAACTCAGCAAAATATTTTAAAATAGTCCAGTAGTCCATAACAGTATTGGGTCTTCCACTTGACTGGCAATGTCAGAAGTTGTTGACCTGAGTCCCCTATAGTTCAACATAACAATGTGGCTTTACTTATACTTTGTTTTTATACTTTTCTGCTGGATGGTTAAGACCAAGATAAAGCAAGACCTATGTAACAAGAATTGTAGCTTTTGGATCTGATAAGGTCAGTGAAATCCCCTCAGGATTTATCCTGGGACCCTGTACCTCAGATTGTAGAACCTTTGTTAGTGTCAGCCATGTGGATGAGTCATGGTCATTGCTTGGCCAATGTACTCTCTGTGAAAGCCTGAGAAAATGGTTTCTCTCCATGTGACTCTCCTTAGGCACACTCTATATCATCGATCACTTTCCTCTTTGGCCCCAAAATGTTTTTATTTCCTTATATGTAAGTATTAACACTTCTCGAACTATCTATCATTCTTAATTTTCAACTTCATTATGTTGGCAGAAAGGGTATGAAAAGTAGTTTTTCTTAATCTTCGCACTTCAGAAAATAACAATTTTGTTTCGTATTTGATTATAATTTGGTTAAGTACAGAATCAGAGGTTTGAAATAATTTTCTTCAGAATATTAAAAGCTTTGTTTTGCTTTACTTTAGCAGTAATGCTGCAAATGCTTAGTCTGAGGCTAGTTGTGTCAGGTTGCAGGGGCTTGGTCTTTATTCTTCAGCTCTTTGGACCTTATACTGGCTACTGTCACTAATCCAGTTAGTAACTTATGAATTCTTTTTTTTTTACATTAATGCTTCTCACTTTTCTATATTTAGTTATAACAGTTTCTCTCTTCCATTTTCTCTGGTCTTTTCTTCTTCTTTTCATGGGCTACTGGAGTTCATAGACTAATGTAGTGTGTTCTTTTTTTTCCCTCCCTTTTTTTTCTTTTTGCTGTAATTCTGACAGACAGATGGTTAAGAGTGTTGTAAAAGCAAGTAAAATAATTTGGTACTGGTAGGGTATACAATGTTTTTAACTGGTATCTTTTACAAATTCATTAAATTCTTAGCGATTTATTGTTCATTTATTCTTTATCTTCTCAAAATGCATTTTTATTTATTCAAAAAGACTCACTGATAAAGCAAGAACTATATAACAAGAAATGTAATTTTTTATCTGATAAGATCAGTCAAATCCCCTCAGGATTTATCCTGAAACCCTGTACTGTAGTTTGTAGATCCTGTCAGTGTCAGCCATGTGGATGAGTCATGGCCATTGCTTGACCAATTTGCTCTCTGTGAAAGCCTGAGAGAATGTTTTCTCTCCATGTGACT